CAGCTTCACGCTGGCAAAACTTTCCGACAGCGTTACAACATTAAACCCCCCGAGGCAGGAGGAAGTCTCTGTGGCTGGTATTTATGGAACGATCATCATCGTTCGTGATTCTTTAGAGATCACTAGCCGCATCCTCGCCGCAATTACCGCGAAAAGGAACTTTCGACTATTTTCGCCGAGCCCGGACGGCCGGCATCCTCTCAGTGACAGAAAAGTTCGTTCGTAGCCGGCATGGGGCGTTATCGTCATCATCGCCGAAGATCAGACATCAGGTTGAGGAAGAGATTCGGAGACAGACGTGCAGATTCCTGAGAGTACAAGGTTGTCGTGTTTGCTTGTGACTGTACATAGAGGAGACTTTCGGAGGCCTGCGTGCATGCATGCATAATACCGAGACGCAAATGTTGTCGCCCAGGCCGCGGCAAGGATGTTCGCGCTCCGCTCCCTCTGCACAAGACGAACGACCAAGATCGAGAGGCAGCTGCAACGACATGGGAATTCCTGGGAGGTTGACACCGAAAGTAGAGCTTTGGGAAGACTGAGACGGAAGAGAACAGGTGAATAAGGTCAGTCGACGGAGGCCTATCCATGGAAACCCAGGATGTATTCGTTCTGTAAAATTTTAAACATCTCAGACGTTCGTCGGCTGTCCCCATTGGAACAGGAATCTCAATCTGTAGACTGGAAGGAATGCTTGAGTGATAAGAAAAAATATGAGTGATATAAGTGCTGCAGCAGGAGGTTAGGGGGAACTTTCGTGGATACTAGATATTTGAATTTGAATGAATTACCGATGGACAAGATAAATAGAAAATAGAGGTCATTATGATAATTCAATCAAACGAATGACGAATACATATGACGATCATAATACATTCGATTAAAAAATAAATCCCTAGATATAATGAGGATTATTCATAGTGGCTGCATGATCTGACACCTTGAATGCGGGGACAAGGCGGCCCCGCGCTATAACGATGATTTTCCTCCATTCAACAGAGACTTCAAGGCTCAAAAAAGGTTCGTTGGAGGAACTTCCGGAGACGAGCCCTGAGAATGAATCTTGCATCAATGATCCACTGAGGGAAAAAAATCAGAGATTCTCCTACTCTAAGTGCCGGCCGCCTACGCACGGGAGTACGCTCATTAAAATCGACGGCGTTTCTTCCCTCAGCCCTCCCTGTACCTCCAATGGTTTGTTTGCGTCACTTTTAGTTCCGGCCCCATAGTCCCGCATTTCTCGCAACTACGATGTATCCTAGCGACGGGCGCATTTCATTCGAGACGGGGGAACTACAAAAAAGGAGAGAATCCGATCCTGAAGTTCGAGGCTCACGAACGAAGCTTTCTACCTGCGTTTTCCCGGGAAACACCTTATCTCAGCTAGCTGCTTAACCTCCAGACATTACGATTCCGACGCTTCAAGAAGAGTTTCCGGAGTGAGTTCCGCTCCGTATTTCAGGGGTTCGCTGGCGACATACATATATGTATGCTGTAGTCTCAAGTGCTCCGAAAACTTTCAGCACTTCTCTCCAGTTTCCGTTCATCCACCTGCATGTTCCTTTCTCGGAAGTCGCCAGTATCGGGGAAGAAACAATAGAAAACGAACGCGGGAGTACACCAGGACGATGGGAAGCGTGCAGGGGGTTGAAAGGTTCTCTAGTCAGCAGCATAGCCTCGAGGCACTATCTTTGCTGACGTAAGACCTTGGTCCGTCTGGCGGTCTGCGTCTTCGCAGGTTCCACGCTCCCTGAAACGAGAGCTCCGGACCGAGGTTCGATCGACTGAATTCAGGAGTGTTTCCTTCTCCTACCGATGATAAGAGCGGAATACCTCCCTCCGATCTATCCTGTATCCATGATTTTCTTTTCTGGAGACGATTCGGAAGCGGCTGTTCTTGTGTCCAGGGTCAGCCCGTAGCTCAGGAGCTTCTGTGTACTTTCGCTCCGCGATATCATCCCACCAATGCATGTCTCTCAGGTATTAATTCGGTGTCGAGAGCTGCAAGGGGAACGCTTGAGCCGAGACCCTCCGTAAGAGCCCGAATCAAAACTGCATTAGTCGCTTCGCGAGCAGCGCATCAGACGGGCATTTGACGTGCCGTAAGCTTTCCCTGATCCCCATGCGAGGGAGCTTTCGGCATGAGAGCGCGCGATCTCGAGCCGGATGCTTAATATGGACAGATTGGGCGTATGCCATCAAACTCTCGCAGATCTTGAAGGAGGGAAATTCGGGACCCGAATGCCGATCAAGCTCAATATGACTGCTATTCTTTTCGGAGGATCGTGCCAGAGCTAGGCAGCGTTCATCACGCCCCCGTCCGGACTCTGGCACGTATTGCGAGATCCATCGGGAATCGAGGGACGTCAAGAGTCAACGGCGAACGATTTGAAATTCAGTGGCCGAGATCCTTACTCATCACTCGAATAATTCTTTACTTTAGCTCTGTGCTCGCATCGTGTCCAAATATTGGAGTTATTTGAGCCTCCGAAAGGAACAAGTAGGCGCCACAGAACAGCTGGCCTCTTCATGCTCCCAGGGAGAACCACGCAATTTCATCGCACTCACACGGAATACGGTTGACCACCATGCCCAGGCGAGAAGCATCTGGTTCGAGGATACTGTAATGCAGCTCTGCAAGACTTCACTTTCGGGGAGGAGCTCAGGAACATCGGTGTCTGATTGATGCTCACCACGGGCGCAGTTTCTCGTCCACCACATATTCCAGAGGAGGGATCCCCCCGTGTATCGAGTCGGCAGAATCGAGTGAAGTTCTTTCAACCTTGAGAGAAGGAGATTCCGCTCGAATCATGGGAGAGGGCGCGTCGTAGGAATCGCGAAGGTCGACGGAGACTATGGGTTATATGTTTAATGCACGAGAGGAATGAAATTAAGGATACTCGACGCGAAAAGGCGGAACAGTACATTGTTCGTCCCGTCTCGGTTACGTGGAATATTCGGATTCCCGGTCTCGGGCTCCTGAAAGGATGAGCCTGCTCTCTCCACGGGGCGAAGCTTCTCACATATTCTGCAGGTGAAACGTGAGACTGCGCAATCCTCCTCGCGACGAAAAAAAAACGATGCGAGCCAGAAGCTCCGAGCGGCAGGTAGTCGCGCAAATACGTCGGAGCAGAAAAACCGACTCCACGACTGTTGCTCGTCATTGCAGCATGTCATGTCGCCGGCTGAAGATGACACTGGAACGTTGGTCGTTGACGCTGTTACCCTTCGGAGTGGCGTCTGCGACTCACTTTACAGACTACGCTGCGACAGAGACGTCTACGTTCGCTGCCTCTGTATTGCACAACGTCAACTCAAACAGACGGAGGCGTTCGCTCTGAAAACCTCTGTGAAGTGGGTCGCGTCGAGAATATTAGAAGCGCTCCCGCGAAGTCTCTACTGCATTGGAAACCTATCGAGATACCACAGCTTGATAGAGAGCCGAGAGCCGTTGACTGGGCGCTCCGGGAGCTGTACGGCCGTAGTCCCGCTGCCTGAAATGGTGAATAGTGAGTTTCTCGGTGCAAGATTCCAATATGTGTCATCGTGTCGAGGACGAGTTTCCATGCCGCTGCCAGAGTCAGAGGACCGGAATCCCCTTTCCACAGAACAACGCATTCCGGTGGATTGTCCGAGATCTGTGGTTTACTTCTCGAGATATCATCGAATGCGAGGGGTTAGCACATCTATACCATGGGTACGTAATATCATGGACCCAATTTCATGCGAAGATGAGTTGATCGTGACTTACAACGCGTTTGCAACCATCACCCCATGACAAGTACCGGGGAGAGGAACCTTCATGATGGTACTCATTACGGAACTCCGATGTCGGCTTTCGGGCCTCTTTCAGGGCATGCCGCCCAGGGTACTACTCATTACGTCTCTGGGTTTCACACCGCAGGCGATGTCGGAGCTTTGTGTATCCGAGATCGTCCTCATTCATAGACATCGATGACAGCGATTCGAATGGCTGGGAGTGAGTTTTCCCATCCTTGGCCTTCCCATCAGGACAGAAATAGACTTCGTAGTTGAGAAGTTCATATCATATCTCATCGTAGGTTCTTCTCCCAGCATTTGTTCTTCCCCGTGCGCGACGGAACCGAGTTACCGGGTTCGGAACTGGATCACAACTGACTCGGGCGAGTCCGAGATTCTATACGTTCGCAAAGTCAACTTGTTCTCCTCCTTTCTTTTCAGAAACATAGATTCCGTCCTCCGAACCTTGCTCCCCTGCTATTCGATACAGCACTTATTCGACTACTGCTGATGGTGGTAGGTAGCATCGTGCTCGGATCTCTTTCTCGGGTCCTTCCTCGGTGTCGTTTCCGGAGCTTCCCCACCATCGGTCAGCACAGTGGGAGCCCACATCCGAGGCTTGAGCTTCGTGACTCTGGCGGTCAAGGAGGGTCAAACGGGGTCCATTGAATACCGGGACAATACATGTCTTGAAATCTGCGTTTCATGAATGAAGCGTTCGCTTGTTGACATCCTCGCGAGTCGCGGTATCATAGAGAATAATAGGTGCCAAATCTGGTTTTTCAGCTTTTCCTCGAAAACGGTTGGGTTTAGAGAAAAAAGTGTCATGGCTTACCCTCATGGATTTTCGATTTTACATCCGATAACGATGTCTCCTCAGTCCTGGAAGCTGTGGTTTTCGAGATACGCCATCGATTTCCATTTTTTCCAACGGGAACCCCAACCGGGAATACCCAAAATCGATAGATCTCGTCATTCTGAACAAAAAAGGTCATGGGGTATTTTCCCCAAAAACCGATAGTTTCCGAGATATCGGCAGAGAAAGTTTTGAATGAAAAGAATCAATGGACCAATGGGTTTGAGAGGGAATTGACTTCGTTGTCTCGCGCTTTATTCGCCTCCGAGCCCGCTTCAAGATGGATCGGATGACACTCATTTTCAAAATTCCTCCATGATGATTCATCGTCAAAAAAATTATCGTAATGATATGATGATCTTTTAATTTTTGGGTTTTATGGAAATCACAATAATTGTTCGAATTGACACCCTAGTTGGGTGAGGCACAAACGACATCGACGGAGAACTGAGCGCGTCGCCGTGCGAACTTCTCCTGGATTAATGTTCCGGATTACCTCCGTGACTTTCGCCTTGAGGTCTTCCTCTGTCTCGTAAGGAAGGTTGCTCACGTGGTACACTTCATCTTTGACCTTTCCCCAGAGGTAAAAATCCAGGGGCGTCAGGTCTGGGCTCCTCGCGGGCCATTTGATGTCCCCGTTTGTTGCCAGTACCCTTCCAGGGAACATGTTCCTAAGGATGTTCATGGTGTCTCTCGCGTTGTGCGCTGGTGCGCCGTCTTGCATGAAGATCATCTCTCTGCGCAGTTGGAGCGGAAAGTCGTCCAACAAGTCGACCAGCTCATTTTGCAGAAAACGTTGATAATCTGCCCCGCTGAGAGTCCCGTTGTAAAGGAATGGCCCCACTATTCGGGAACCGAGTAGGCCACACCACACGTTGAAGCTGAATCGAACCTGGTTGTTCGTCTCCTTGAAATTGCCGGTCTTCTCCGTGGACCAGTAGTGAGTATTCTTTCGATTAAAAAAGCCTCGATTGCTGAAGTTGCACTCGTCCGACCACAGAATTTTTGAACTGAAAGCCGGACATCGCTCATGTTCTTCCAAGAGCCACCTGCAGAAAGATTCCCGGCGCGTTCTGTCCCCCAACCGCAAGTGTTGCACCTTTGAAGTCTTGAAAGGCCTCAAGTTGTGTTTGTGGAACACGCTGAGAACTGTCGAATGATCCGTGTGGCACTGTTCAGCAACCTCCCGGGATGAAACCTCCGGTTTCGCGAAGACGAGGGCCAAGATGGCCGTTTCCAGATCTTCATTCGGGCAGGCCCTTGCCAGGTGATCAAAACGGCCAGTGTTCCTCAAACTTTCTTCAAGGCGTCCGAAGTAAGATTTGCATGGTGCTCTTCTATCGGGGAAACTTTCCTTGTAGGCCTGGAGGGCAGCCGTCGCATTCCTCCCGTTCGCCACGAATGCCGCGAACATGTCGGTTTTTTCTGCGTTTGTGAACTCCATCTCCGAGGAATCACTGTTTTCACTTAATTCCAAGTCTCGCTTCTCAACCAGAGATTCCGACGAATATCACAGCAATTCTGCAGTGAACACTGATGAGTTCTGAGGATGAATCGGCACGGAGCATCTCTGGAAGTGAGCGTCATCCGATCCATCTTGAAGCGGGCTCGGAGACATATCAAATTCGACAAAACAAGCTCGATTCCCTCCCAAACTCATTGGTCCATTGATTCTTTTCATTCAAAACTTTCTCTGCCGATATCTCGGAAACTATCGGTTTTTGGGGAAAATACCCCATGACCTTTTTTGTTCAGAATGACGAGATCTGTCGATTTTGGGTATTCCCGGTTGGGGTTCCCGTTGGAAAAAATGGAAATCGATGGCGTATCTCGAAAACCACAGCTTCCAGGACTGAGGAGACATCGTTATCGGATGTAAAATCGAAAATCCATGAGGGTAAGCCATGACACTTTTTTCTCTAAACCCAACCGTTTCCGAGAAAAAGCTGAAAAACCAGATTCGTCACCACCCTGTATATATAAAAACGTATGTCTGTTTGTCTGTTTGTTTGTCTGTCTGTCTGTTTGTCTGGTGTCACCTATAGACTCGAAAACGGCTGAACCGATCGTCGTGAAAATTTAGGAGCGTGTTCTGGGCGATCCCCCGGTGGTTATAGGGGGGTCAGTTCTTCGATGCAATGAGTCCTTCTACCTTAAAAAAATTATTTGAGTGCTCCACCCACGAAAATCCGAAAACTCGGAAAAAAATTGAAAAATCCGAAATTCGCAAAATTCAAAAACGCCTGAACCGATCGCCGTGAAAATTCAGGGGTGGGTTCCCGGGAGCTTCAGGAAGGTCATCTGAGGGTCGTCGTTCTCATGTTATGGGTCTTCCCCCCATAAAAAAATTATTTGAGTGGTCCTCTCACCGACAATCAAAGATTTCATCAAGGGAAAGACGGGAATTCGATTTTCCGGAGGACATATCTAATAAAAGCGGGGGCACGGGGAGGCGGGGAAACGGGGAAGTGGGGAACAGGGAAAGCGGGGAACCGGGAAAGCGGGGAACCGGGAAAGCGGGGAACCGGGAAAGTTGGGAACCCGGAAAGCGGGGAACCGGGAAAGCGGGGAACCGGGAAAGTGGGGAACCGGGAAAGCGGGGAAACGGGAGAGTGGGGAAATGGGAGAGTGTGGAAACGGGAAAGTGGGAAAACGGGAAAGTGGGAAAACGGGAAAGTGGGGAAACGGGAAAGTGGGAAAACGGGAAAGTGGGAAAACGGGAAAGCGGGGAAACGGGAAAGCAGGGAAACGGGAAAGCAGGGAAACGGGACGCTCACCAAGAGCACGCGCGACCAAAGCAAGCGCACCCGAAGCCAGCGCACTCGGAGCCAGAGACTTGGAGCCAGCGCACTTGGAGCCAGCGCACTCGGAGCCAGCGCACTCGGAGCTAGCGCATGTGTAGTGAGTCTAGCGATACCGAGTCGCCGCGAAGCGGCGACCGGGAGCGCTAGTCTATATATATAAAAACGTATGTCTGTCTGTCTGTCTGTTTGTCTGTCTGGTGTCACCTATAGACTCGAAAACGGCTGAACCGATCGTCGTGAAAATTCAGGAGCGTGTTCTGGGCGATCCAGCGGTGGTTATAGGGGGGTCAGTTCTCCGATGCGATGAGTCGTTCTACCTTAAAAAAATTATTTGAGTACTTTTCCCTCGAAAATACGAAATCTCGGAAAAAAATTGAAAAATCGCAAATTCGCTAAATTCACAAACGCCTGAACCGATCGCCGTGAAAATTCAGGGGTGGGTTCCCGGGAGCCTCAGGAAGGTCATATGAGGGTCGTCGTTCTCATGTGATGGGTCTTCCCTCCATGAAAAAATTATTTGAGTGGTCCCCTCATCGAGAATCAAAGATTTCATAAAGAGAAAGACGGGAATTCGCAGGACTTTCAACGGCTGGAGCACTATGAGGGGGCGGATTCTCGGGAGCTCCTAAGAAGGCTATCGGGGGTTGCCGTCATCATTGGCCTCTGTCTTTCTACTAATGAATCTCGCTGAAAATTGCTGTGGCCGTGAAGGGTATAGATTTTCCGAAGAACATATGGAATAAAAGCGGGGGTACGGGAAAGTGGGGAAACGGGAAAGCGGGGAAAGCGGGGAAACGGGAAAGTGGGGAAACGGGAAAGCGGGGAAACGGGAAAGCGGGGAAACGGGAAGGCGGGGAAACGGGACGTTCACCAAGAGCACGCGCGACCAAAGCAAGCGCACCCGGAGCCAGCGCACTCGGACCCAGCGCACTCGGACCCAGCGCACTCGGAGCCAGCGCACTCGGCGTTAGCGCACTCGGAGCCAGCGCACTCGGAGCCAGCGCACTCGGAGCCAGCGCACTCGGAGCTAGCGCATGTGTAGTGAGTCTAGCGATACCGAGTCGCCGCGAAGCGGCGACCGGGGAGCGCTAGT